CATGAAGCCGCACCTTCAAGAAGGCGCCAGCTGCCACCCTACACAAGCCCAAAAGCGAGTGCTCTCTGTGACAAAAAACTCCTTTTATGGTTATGGCCTGTAACTTGCTATGATCGTGTGTTGCTTGTGTATGCTTGAGTCTATGGGCGATGCCCACGTGGCACTCCGGGATAGGCGACCATAGGCTATATAAGGGCTGGGAGAGGTCTGCCTGGAGAGAGAACCAAAAGAGAAATGGGAGAGAAGCGAGAGAGAAGCCACTGTTGAAGGTCCTGAATAAACTGCCTGCAAGAAGAGCTCCGGTGTCGTGTCGTCATTGCTGATTCAAGACAGTCGTGACAAAAAAAAACCATATGATCATTTCATTACATGCTGAAAAAGCATTTGACAAAATTCAACACCCCTTTATGATAGAGGTGTTGAAGAGATTGGGGATACAAGGATCATACCTAAATATAACAAAAGCAATATACAGCAAGCCGACAGCTAACATCAAACTGAATGGAGAGAAACTCAAAGCCATTTCACTAAAATCAGGAACACAAGAAGGCTGTCCACTCTCCCCATACCTCTTCAATATAGTGCTTGAAGTTCTAGCAATAGCAATAAGACAACATAAGGGGATCAAGGGGATTCAAACTGAAAAGGAAGAAGTTTAACTCTCATTATTTGCAGATGATATGAGAATGTACATAAGCGATCCCAAAAACTCTACCAAAGAATTCCTACAGTTGATAAACACCTTTAGTAATGTGGCAGGGTACAAGATCAACTCCAAAAAATCAGTTGCCCTCCTACACACAAAGGATAAAGAAGTAGAGAGGGAAATCAGAGAATCATCACCTTTCATGATAGCCACAAATAGCATAAAATATCTTGGGATAACTCTAACCAAGGAAGTGAAAGACCTATTTGACAAGAACTTTAAATCTTTGAAGAAAGAAATTGAAGAGGATACCAGAAAATGGAAAGATCTCCCTTGCTCTTGGATTGGGAGGATCAACATAGTAAAAATGGCAATTCTACAAAAAGCAATCTATAGATTCAATGCAATTTCCATCAAAATCCCATCAAAATTCTTCACAGACCTTGAAAGAACAATAATCAACTTTATATGGAAAAACAAAAAACCCAGGAGAGCCAAAACAATCTTATATAATAAAGGAACTTCGGGAGGTATAACCATCCCTGACTTCAAACTCTATTACAGAGCTACAGTATTGAAAACAGCTTGATATTGGCATAAGAACAGAGAAGTCGACCAATGGAATTGAATAGAAGACCCGGATATTAACCCACAAACCTATGAATACCTGATTTTCAACAAGGGAGCTAAAGGTATACAATGGAAGAAGGATAGCATCTTTAACAAACGGTGCTGGCATAACTGGATGTCAACCTGTAGAAGAGTGAAAGTAGATCCATATCTATCACCATGCACAAAACTCAAGTCCAAATGGATTAAAGACCTCAACATTAATCTGACCACTTTGAACCTTACAGAGGAGAAAGTAGGAAGTAGTCTACAAGACATAGGCACAGGAGACCACTTCCTAGGTAGAATCCCAACAGCACAGACAATAAGAGAATCAATGAATAAATGGGATCTCCTGAAACTGAGAAGCTTCTGTAAAGCAAAGGACACTGTCAGTAAGACAAAAAGGCTACCTTCTGACTGGGAGAAGATCTTCACCAACCCCTCATCAGACAAAGGTCTGATCTCCAAAATATACAAAGAACTCCAGAAACTAGACACGAAAACTCTAATTAACCCAATTAAAAAATGGGGTACTGAACTGAACAGAGAATTTAACAGAAGAACTTCTAATGGCCAAAAGACACTTAAGGTCATGCTCAACCTCCTTAGCAATCAGGGAAATGCAAATCAAAACAACTTTGAGATACCATCTTACACCTGTCAGAATAGTTAAACTCATAAACACCAATGATAGCCTATGCTGGAGAGGATGTGGAGTGAGGGGACCACTCATCCATTGTTGGTGGAAATGCAAACTTGTGCAGCCACTGTGGAAATCAGTGTGGCGGTTTCTCAGGAAATTGGGAGTCAACCTACCTCAGGACCCAGCAATTCCACTCTTGGGAATATACCCAAGAGGTGCCCTATCATACCACAAAAGCATTTGTTCAACCATGTTCATAGCAGCACTATTTGTAATAGCCAGAACCTGGAAACAACCTAGGTGCCCCTCAATAGAAGAATGGTTAAAGAAGGTGTGGAACATATACACATTAGAGTTTTACTCAGCGGTAAAAAACAACGACATCTTGAATTTTGCATGCAAATGGATGGAAATAGAAAATGCATTACTGAGTGAGGTAAGCCAGACCCAAAAAGAGGAATATGGCATCTACTCACTCATAAGTGGATTCTAGCCATAACTAAAGGTCTTTGAGCCTATAATTCGTGATCCTAGAGAAGCTAAATAAGAAGGTGAACCTGAAGAAAATCATATAGTTATCCTTCTGGATATTGGAAGTAGACAAGATTTCTAGGCAACCTTGGGTGCACCGGGGGGGGGGGGGGG